AAAAAATGTGACGTTTCTGTTCGCGCTTTTTTATATCCGTGGAGGAGAGAGACCAGTATTTATCAAAATTTGAAAAATGCACTTTCGGAGGCACAGGGTAACTGCAACTGATTTGCATCAGTTTTTGCAGAGACGACCAGTCAACCCTGCTGCACTAGTGGCTCTCAGAGGCCGTGGCTCGCCCCGCCTTTTCAAAAGCTCCCTCGTTCGAGAATTTGCGGACTCTGAGCGCAAGTCGACTCACCGAAGATGGTACAGCCCATTGGTAAGGTGCTCTGTGACTCAGAAGTCACTGCGCGCGACTTATCGTTCAAGTCGGTATGGAAGGAGCTGAAAAACGATGGCCGGACGCGCTAGCCACCACTACGATGCAGCTTAGACGATCGTTACTTCTACATTCGGCCTGGTCAAAGTTCGGTCGGGACTAAAGGAGTTCATTTCTTTCGGGGAGAGGAGTTGGTGCATGAATACTACGCTAATGCACTACAACTATATACTATTGTATTGCTAGACTAACCGAATATGGTGTACTCAGTGCTGCGTTCTCGTGCACCTGTTGCGACTGTCCATCCGTCATAGGCTCCTGGTGATGCACAGCTAGTTGCAGCTGCAGAAGTCGTCCGTCAGACGTACACCGCTGACATCCTAGCAGCCGAAGCCCGAATTCAAGCTACTGCAGCAACCCGATGTCCTGCTCCAACAACCCAATCTCCTGCTCCGGCAACGCAAGTTCCTGCTTCAAGTGCAGCACGTACGGCTAGCGGTGCTGTACCGTCAACTCTATATCCGCGAACCCCACCGATTCGACACGCAAAAGCACGGTGGTCTCTCGTTCAAAGCGCAAGTCCGATGGCGATTATGCCGCCTCGGTCGATACGGTCTGTTGTTCAGCCGCTGCTGGCTACATCCCCTCATCTACAAAACTCAGATTCAGCGTCAGCATGCGAGGACACACAAATTACTGATAACGAGTCCGTCGAATCTGCGTACTCTCCGAGCGAACCTGAGCAAGGTATGGTGAATGATATCCTGCATACTGGACAGCTTTTTAAGCTGCATAATATGCTGTTGTGGTGAAGCGCTTGAGAAATTTGGAGAATGTGAGACGGATTGAAATGGACCAATCAGCTGCGAGGGGTCGCCTACTTCAATTGCGCAACCAGAACCATTATTCTGACTCGAACCGTCATTCTGGAGACACCGTCATTCTGGTCAAGACTGGATCGACAAGGTGCAATCATTGCGATCCGATCTGGTCCGATATAGGTGCAATTATTTCGA